TTTCTTTGAACCAGCAGAAGTGCCATTATCATGAAGTATTTACTAGCTAGAAGAGATATGATTCACGCTTCACATTTAATGGGTGAAGCATTTGTGTGTATGAAAGGTACTATTAATGATGAGGCTATCATGGGTAGCATGAGACTTCTTTGACAACAGAGGTAGGAATGAGCTGCCTTGAGTTTTAAAGTCTAAGAAATATCAGGAACATGTACATGGACATAAAGGGTTTATGGCAGAAGGCTCCCAGGTCATTACCCTCCACAGTGATATTGGGCTCTGAAGACCAAATTGAGAGGAATCGTCAGAATAAGCCTCAAAGCAGGTAGCATTTGGCCCATAGCACAGTCAAGGCAGAGGTTGGAGGCATACCATGACAAATGTTTACTCAAAAGTCAGGGTGGGCAGATCAAAAGTCAAACTTACCTGGGATCAGAGAGAACTTTTCTCTCAAGGACTATCCCAGCATGCTAGGCAGCCTTTTACCATGGACTTGTTTTTTTAAAACAGCTCTGTGCTCAGTGCTCTGTGCTGCTCATACTACAAAACCTCTAAGCTACTGTAAAAATAGAAGCAGCTGTTGTCAAACTCATTTCACTTAGGTCTCATTGGGTAAGCCTGATGCTATCTTTTTATTTTAAGTAAAAATGTATTTGTAAGCCCTTCTGCTTGTAAGAAACCTATTCTGCTGGTTAATTGTCTGATGGCTATTCTAAGTCTGGTGCTCCATTTGTTGTTCAGCCCTACATTGGACAGTTGGTTATGGTTCAGTCATCTGTAAGGTAGTTGCTTGCAGGTCTGCCTAATCCTGCTGTCTCTGTGGCCTCCTCTTGTTTTACTAGACTACTCTATCGTTCACCCTGAATATCCTATCTAACCAGATGGTTTGACTCTGACCTTTCTATGTCTGACCCTCTGTCTGCTCTAGTCTGACCTCTATCAGTTTGAACTGCCTTTACTTATCATATCTGTTTAGATTCCATAATCCAGCATATAAGACCCTTGTGGCACTATAGTATCAAGCAAGCACAAAAATATTCCCTGAAAGGTGGCTGCTAAAGGGGAAGAGTGCTGTAGCAGCAGTCATGACATTTAAACGAGTGGCCAAATCTTACAGTAAAATGCACATGAATTTCAACATAGAGTGCCACATTGTTAAATGCCCATGAAAAACCTTCCGTTCACTTTTACCACCATCTACTCTACTCTATCCACTCTGCCTTCTGCCCACTTTGTCTATGTTTTGCTTCACGTGGCCCACACTTTGTAAATACTACCTTCTATCTATATGGATCAACCATTGTCCAGCTCCAAAATGGTGCATCCTCAGTTCACACTGTTTGTGTTAACCCATTTTCTCACCATGCCACACTTTCACACGCTTGCAAGCATTTCACTAAATTCACACTAAGATATCAGTTGTGAAAAGACATAACCTGATGTCACCTGCTCATAAGCCTTTTAAAGTTCTGAGCTATTATTGTCGTTGGCTTTGGACAGGCTGGACCATGTATGCATTTTGCAAGGGCAGCAGCAGCTTGCCTAACAAGAGAGCTGTGCCTTATGGTTTTAGAATAGCAATCAAGTGAACATAGCTGTAGATTATAAAGGCTGATTTACTAAAGGAGTTGAAAATCTTTACTGAAACAATTGTGTGAATATTCACTTCAATGATCTAATCATGTAAAAAGCATCTGCACATGATTGAGAATTTAGTTAACATGAGGTTTTCTTTTCACATGACTGGATAATCGACTGGATGAATATTGGCACAATTTTTTTTCAGTGAAGATTCTCAATATGTTTAGTAAATCAGCCCCAAGGCATCATAATCATTCACAAGATTTCCTATAGTTTAAATAAAGTCTAACTTTCTTAGAAACAAAATATATTTTAAGGCAATGGAATAAACAACTTTGCAATTAAAAAGTGTTACCACCTTTCCAACCATATTACCTATTTTGCTTCTTTATGCTTATAAATGCTTTTGAAAATATTTACTTTGCACAACAGGTCTCTTCCCATGGGGAACAACGGCCAACAAAGGGCTGCACAATTCAGGTATATGTGAGGGACATGTCAGTGAATGAGAGTTTGTCCTAAAGCTTAACTCCAGACCAAAAAATTCTAATTTTGGATAGACCTGGAGAAAGTAAATACTTTTGTCAATTTTTTTTTTTGCTGTCCATGACACCATTAAGCAGATTTTGCCTCACTTCTTGTCCCTGTGACAGCAGGACAAGAAATGAGGGGAGCAGTTATTACTGGAAAGATCACAGACAGTAATAATAGTCTGTCAGAGGCTCTAACCCAATAAAATATAACATAAAATGTGTTTTATGGCAGTCTGTGTCCCATCTGGAGAATTTCCTGTCACTTCCTGCCCGCTTAGGATGTGAGGGTAAATTTGCCGATTGGGGTCACAAACTACAATAAAAACTAAAAACAAAAAAGTTCTGGTTGGAGTTGGGCTTTAATGGTACACATGAAGTAGATGTGGCCATAGAATCAGATCTAGTTGAATAGTAATACAGTTGGGATATCACTGTGCCACTGTGATATCATGCTGCTGACATGCCATTCACTGCAAAAACACAGTTGTGGTCCCTAAGCCAGAGCCATGTCTGCCACTGCCTAAATCCCAGAGTGATTGTACATATGATGCTAGTCATTGTGCACATGAAGAGTGTCTTCTGTCTTCTTATGTACAAGAAAAATAAAGTTGAATTGGTCCGGTGACACAAAACGGTTTGTTGTTATCACATGCTGCTAATTACTCATAGCTGCGCTTACAATGCTGACATGGCTAACATTAAAAAGGCCTCAGATAACTATAGGGAAACAATACGGTTAACAAAATATGATTGTTAAAGTTACTTCATTTGACACAGTATCTTACCATGTCCTGTTTGTTAGAAAGGCCAAAATATCATGAAAAGTTTATATAGACAGGAGATGACATACTTGTGATGGATGATGCAACTGAAGCCAAACTTATTTTTTTAGTTTTGGATAGAGTGAAGAGGGATTAGAACGCCTTTCAGGTTTTTATTGCGGACTGTATCCCCTCTCTGTTTGTCTTGATGACTGTTTTCACTTAAAGTGAAAGAAAATTCCACATTTTGAGTGGTCAAGAGCATAGATAGGAAATCTTCCAATTGGGAAACTAGTTCTGGTGACTACATGGGTTTTCCTCCTTTTGGAGGGATTTCCTCTCACTTCCTGTTGTGGCTACCAGACAGAAAGTAAAGGGAAATCTGCTCGGTGGAACACATATGTAAAAACAAAGTGGACAGGGGTTATAACCCTTCCTTATTCTATTCAAAATAAAAAAAGGTTTGGTTTCGGTTCTATTTTAAATGTATACTGCAGGTAGTGCCAGACACCCCAGAAGAAACCTTGAGGACTAACACATTCGTTTTTGTTCCTTCTTCCTAAACAGGTTCAGGAGGTGTCTAGATACAGCTCTCTATTCCATCAATAACAGCATAATCATAAGCATGCTGCTTAGCCTAGTTTCCTCCCTTGATTGGCCTGGGACAAATTTATATTAATGTCCCTGTATTAACATGCCCTGGGTTTTGCTTAAAGTGACACTAGAGTTATCTTAACATCAGGCGTTAAATCTAAAAAATTTATTCAACTACCTTAAAGGAGAACTATGAGGTGAGTGATTTTCACTCAGCCTCATAGTTCGAGCCGAGGTGTGACAATGAAACTGTCACAGGTCGGCTCAATAGATCGGGAAGTGAGCGAACGCATACCGTCGCTCGCTCACTTCTCGATCATGTCCCTGCAGAGAGCCGTGCCTGTCACTCACAGCTGCCTGCAGAGGATGCCCCCCCCCCCTGTCCGATCCTCCAGCGCTGACTGGCGGAACGGACGGGGGAGGGGGCGGCTACAGCTGACTCTGCCTATGGATAGGCAGAGCCAGCTATCACTCACACAGCTGGGTGGATCTCGACAGTAATGTCGGGATCCTTCCCGGCTGCGGCGGTCTCAGTAGCTCGCGATATACTGAGCTTTGGGTCACATGAGGGCGCTAGTTTATGTCCTCCCGTGACCCGTAGGAGAACAAAGGGTGACAAACACTTACCCCATAGTTCTCCTTTAACTATTAACAGAAATGTATCTTATTTGTGTATCACTCGGCTGTAGATCCTCAAATCATGGGACTGGGCTTGGAGCGGTGGCTATTTTACAAAACACACAGGGACCATGGGAAACAAAAGTAGCCACCCTCCAGAAGGAAGATCAGTGTCAGCACCCACACAGAGGTGATTTGAGGATCTACAGCCGAGTGATACACAAATAAGATACATGTTTGTAAATAGTTAAGGTTCTTAAATGCATTTTAACTCCTGAGTGTCACTTTAGTGTCAATTTAAACATACCATATTGTGTGCACATAACAACCTACCACACTGCTCATGTACTTATGGCGGAACTTTACTTTAGATGAGAAATAAAAAAAAGGCATAATATACATTTGATGGATTTAATCGCAGATTCTGATCTGCTTTACCTCTGTAGAAACGGAGACAAGCATTCCTAAAAACATTCTGGAGTGCAGAGTTAAAGGGCTTCCCTGCTATAATCACTTGATCAGTCCAATAAAGAGAAATTCTGTTGGGCGAAGCATTGAGCCAATCACATGAGCAGAGAATGACAGTGTTATTTGGGTTGCAAATCAGCAACAAAAGGCTATTCTTGACATTTCAGAAAATCACAGCTGGCTGCAGACTGAGATGGAAAGGTCATTTTTAACAAAACTGCTTCTTTTGCAGTCGTATACTGTATGTTATATAAATTTTTAGTAAAACTGGAGTTTTACTTTACATATGGTATCTTAAAGTCTTATTCATAAAATCAAGTAAAGCTAATATTTCTTCATGTGATATCCTTGAGTAAGGCACTCTAAATCATTTTGATATGATATTTAAAATCAGTTTGCATTTTTTGTACCTGAAATTTCTTTCTGTCCTGGCTGTTTTTTGTAGATCATCCTGAATTCAATGCACAAATATCAGCCTCGGCTCCACATAGTTAAAGCAGACGAAAATAATGGATTTGGGTCCAAGAACACAGCTTTCTGTACACATGTCTTCCCGGAAACAGCGTTTATAGCAGTCACTTCCTACCAGAACCACAAGGTAAAGGACAAAATGTTTAAATCTACACAAACCTCACACCACCAATGTATGGCTGCCCACTGACAGTAAGATAATGGTTGACTTTCAACTATCATTTTTTAGACTGGGTGCAGACTAACATTTGCACAGTCCATCTATTCAAACCCAACTAGCTTAGATAGTTGTCGGTGAAATTAACTAAAAAGGCCAATGGAGATGATAGTGAGCATGTATGTGACACCTATGACAAAGATATAGCGAGTTGACAAATCCCAAGGCCTTGTTTTGTGGTCTGGCAAGGGCTGTGTGGGGCATGCAGTAAGGGGCAAGTTAATGACTAATATGCATCAGCAATTTAGAAAGCTGAGGCCTTGTTCAGATGGGCGGCAAGGGGCAGTAAAAACAGGTTGTTGATCTGCGTTCCCACCTAACAGCTAAAATAGAGACACATTTCAAACAGCAGGTTGCATTTGGCAGGAAGTGCTCCTCCCCAAATGCAGAGATTGCAGTCAATGAGGCCACACCATAACCATGTGGGTACAAGGCTGCGGTGCAGTATTGCAATTGAAAATCCCGACTAGGATACTGCCACCCGCTGAACACCAGGCAGCTTCTGCCCTACTGTCCTCTGAAAAGTGGTTCACCAAGGATAGCTTTTCAAAGGGGTGGTGGAGCCTGCCAACCATCTGAATGATGCCTTTATTAGCAATGCACTTCATATTCTGAAGCAGCTCATATTCTGAAGCCTGCCTATTGTGATTCCATCAAGCATGGTGTCATTAGCAGTATCTATCAAAGTTTAATATATTTTTGAAGGGAGTGGACACATCAAAACCTTACTTAAAGCCATTTATTTTTTTAGTTTTAAATAGAGTGGGCAAGAAATTAACATTTCTTTTTTTTAATACTACCTGAGAACCCAGGTAGTATTAAAAACTACCTGGGTTCTCAGATGGTTTTGGTCTCAGTTAATGTCTCTGTGACACCAGTACAAGATACAGTATGGGAGGAACAGTTTTCACTGGGACAGGAAGGCATGGACAGTTTTTGTCTGTTTCCTCATTGGAGAAATTTCCTTCTTGTCTAAACAGAAAGTGAGGGTATGTTTCCCCAGTAGGGACCCAGTCAACAATAAAAAAAAAAACAGACAGAGGCTCTAACATATCCCCACTTTAAAACAAGAACATTTTATTTTATTGTTGAAAGTGGGCTTTCATTTTCAAGAAACACACAGCAATCCAGTGCTTGTTTGTAATACTGTAGTTATATTGCTATTTTTAACATAATACATGAAAATAATTAGTTTTAATTTAAAGTATACAAAAACAAGCTTTGTCCAACTGTAACGCTTACAACCTAGTCCAGCTCTAAACATCAGGTAAAGAGTTAATGAAGCAAGCACATAAAACCACCCTTCCATAGTTGCCAAGCCTCTCTCCAGCTTAGGCACATTTTACAGTTTTATGGAGAACAGGGAAGCCAACCAGGTTTTTTTTTTTAGTTTTGTAACATCTGTATATACATAAAGTGAAGAATTTGCCCATGTGGAGAAATCTTTAGATAAAAAAATACACCCTGATCCTTGGAAAGAATGGCATCTGCTCATTTTAAATATAGGGAGGAGAGCAGAAGATATATATAGTACTGCCTGGCCTTATTTGCAGTTCATATATCTTTCAAAATCCTTTAGCTCTGTGCATAAGTCTATTCCCGAGAAGTGTGCGTGTCTGTGGAAATATGTCTGCAAATAAATAACGACTAGATGCACTAATTTCTTGTGTAATTTAAGTGCTAAAAATATATTATGAGGAAAAGGTTTAGAACTTGGATGTTTTAAAATCATTTGGTTGGTTAGGTATATAAAAGTGAAACTGAATTAGATTTGAACTTGGATTAAAATAAAAAATATGAATACATTTAAAAAAATATAAAATCATTTATATAAAAGTCTAGTACAAGTACTTTAATTTATTTACTGCTGCTTTGGAGGTCAAGGAAAATGTTTGAAAGAGGTTTATGTAAGGCCTTTATGCATATACAATAACGTTTCTGCATGTGTTTATGTGCAATTTGAGCGCATTTTTTCCTGACCATTTGAAGCTACCTATATGTGTTAAGAATAAGTATCTTTAAATAGAACTAAACTCAAAAAGTAAAACATTTGCTGTTATTGGGAAAATTTAGAATGTTAATTGTGTTTTGGATACCTCCTGAAAAATAGCAGCGCACTTTCTGGTATGTAAGTGAGCCTTAATCCTTATAGCTTTATATATGCAGTGTGAAATTAAGGCCCCTGACTGATAGTACTAGGAGATTTGGCGTGATATTTGGTGATATCGCTACTGTGCTGCTCATCATTCACGTTGCTGGAGGCTCTGATTTTAAAAAGCAAAACCCTGCCTCAAGCAATATCACCGCCCCCACACAGAGCAGAACAAGGCATTGCATGGCAGTCATGGGAAAAGATCAGCTGCAGGGACAACACAGGCAGCATTGGTGACTAATGCTTTGCCCTGTGACTACCTTTTTTTGGGCATAGTTTCCAGAGTACAGTATACTGAAAAAATGGCTTTAGATACTTTTTAACCACTTGCTGACCGGGGTGTTAATCCCCCTGTCCAGGCAATTTTTCAGTATTTAGCGCTGCGGTACTTTGACTGACATTTATTCAGTCATACAACGCTGAAGTGAAATTAATTTTATACAATTTTGGGGGGACTCATAGAGCTTTCTTTTGGTGGTATTTCATCATTACTGGGGTCTTTATTTTTTACTTTATAATGAAAAAAGAACCAAAAATTTTGAAAGAAAACCGGTTTTCCCTATGTTATGTTATAAAACATTTATTATTACCCAATTTTTTGGTAAAATATAAAAGATGGGGTCACGTTGGGTAAAAAGACAGCAACTATGTCAAGCTTTAAAATTGCGTGCGCAAAAAAACTACCATGCCTAAAATTGGCCATAGGTGACACTTTAAAAGCTCATCAATTCAGTGTTATCAGTGATTAATGGCCCTAGAATTATTGCTCATTCTTCGACATTCGCGGTGATATGTAACATGTGTGGCGTAATCATTGTTGTCGCACATAGAGATCTGCTTCACCAGCTTCTTCTCTGGCTAGCAGCCAGAGAAATGACAGCTAACGGTGGAAGTGATGTAATATACATCGCTTCCGCCTTTAGAGAGAGAAGGAGGAGAGATCAGCAGTGGGGAAATGCTGATCTCTCCTTCTTCTCTCTACTAGTAGCCAATGTGATGGTGTTCTCGGATAACCAGCAGCGGCAAGGGGAAGGGGCGGCAGCAGGGGGGGGACCTGCACTGTGCAAGGTCATACAACACTTGTATGTAACAGCTGGTAATGGCTGTTAACCTTCCCGGTGGGATTCTGCTCACGCGCGCCCAACAGGAGCAGAAAAAAATCATATAAATGTACGTCCACCCAATAGGAAGCATCTGCCGTCTGCCCGTATTTTGGGCGGATGGCAAGGGGTTAAGACCTGCCCTAATTCTGTCTGCATCCATACTGGTTTCTGCCATTAGCAAATAAGGAACAATACATTATGAGTCGCTATCCAAAGTCAAAACATTTTTTACACTTTGGAATGGTTAAAAACCTCAGTTTTTTTTAACCATCTATGACTTGTTCAAGAGATTTCCTTTCACTTCCTGTCCTGTTGGGACAAAACTAAGTCAGAGCAAATATCTTCAAAGTGAGGCATTCCAAATTGGAATTGGATTTCCTGCTTTTCCTGTTCTGGTGGCCACCCAAAGTTTTCCTTACCTTCACTCCCAGTGACAACGGCCACCAAGATGAATAAAAAGAGTTAATGAAAACACAGACAGCAATAAAAATCTTAAGGAGACGGGAGACTGGTGATGATATAGCTTTAAAATGTACAAGATAAACACAATAAAATTGCAGATTTACATGTGATAAAACTGATAATTGATTCAGTACCCCATATATGTAGTGCACGAAGTGGACTGAGCTGAATCTCCTGTTTGATTGCTAAATCAGTTAAGGTTAGGTAGTGTTGTCAGTTAATGAAATTTGTGGACAGTATACTCTGTATTTTTTCTGAGTTTCTTGTGTCTTTGGAAATAAAACTTCACAATTCTGATGTCATTCCCATATTATTATCAGATTACACAGCTAAAGATTGAAAACAACCCATTTGCCAAAGGATTTAGGGGGAGCGATGACATGGAGCTGCATCGGATGTCCAGAATGCAAAGGTAGTTTCTTCTTTATGTGTTCTGTATCAGTGAAACTTGAGTTAAAATAACATTATGACTTGGGTTTCTAATAATAGTGTAGGAAAAATGCCAGTGTGTCTCTGTACCGAAAAATTTTGGTATTACTAGACATGAAAAGGTGGGCATAGATACTATGAGCGATGATCACATGATACATTTGTTCTGGATGCAAACACTGATGCACATTTTTTGAATACATAAAAACTTACACCACATTTCCCCCAAAAAATTAAGGTATAAAACTAAAAATAAAATGTATAACACTTGAAGGGTTACCCTTAAGATCAAACTTTTTTAGTATGGCTATGCATTATCTACAAAAGTCAACCCCACACCAAAAATAAATGATCCAATGATCGTAGTATCGATAGACACCATTAAATGTAATGACACTCCTATATCCTAGGAGAAAATAATATAATTTGATTGCACCTTCCCTCAAGAGTGGCTAATGGCTGCGTTGTCTGCTCAGTGAAATCAGTGAATGAACATGGATTGTCAGGCAATACAAACATGTGCATTTATGCACACGTTAGTCAAACTATTAACACTGCAGGGGTTACTGTAGCAGTTACCGTAACAATTTTTTTAAAGCCCACGTTCAACTTTTATTTATTTATTTCTTTAAAAAATGGCCAGGCCTTTTTAAAAATTCAAAACAAAGGATTGGCTACAATTCTTACCCTACCTTTGGCACTCCCCAATGACTTGTCACTCTGAGTTCCAGCACCACTCTTCTTCCAGGTTGGAAGAATTGGAAAGGGGTAAAATAAAGGAGTAATGGGGTTTGAAGTGTATTACCACTTTGCTGCCAAATTGGAATAGCACCTATTTACATTTGTTACATTTTCCCATTCATAAACATAACTTTAAAATAGGGATGCGCCGATACATTGGCGCATCCGTTCTTTCTCTTCTCCCCGCTGGGCGCTGCTCTATGTCCCAGCGGGGAGTAGAGAAAGTGACAGCCGGCCGAGCGCTGCGGTGGAGAGCGCCTCCCACACCGATCTGCCGCCTATCACAGTTCGGCAGAGCGCTGTGTGGGCGGAGACATCGCTGTCACAGGAGGCTGGGCTTTCCTCTCTACATCGCTCGATCAACCTCCTGTGACAGCGTGTCAGAGAGAAGAGCAAGGTACACACACTCAGCGATCAGTGATTGCTGAGTGTTTGTAGATAATTGAGGACCTGGTATGTTAACTATATCCTCAATTAAACATATAAAAAAAATTGTTGCTTACCATTTTACTTGCTCTGTTCAAAATTGAAGTTTTTCCATTCTCTGTAATTTCAAGAAGGGGGATGGGGGAGATAATGTTACCATAATTAACCCTGTCTGTACTGTGGTGGCAGATCTCATTATCAGTTGTAAACTAGATTTGAACACTCTCTGTCTTATCAAGGGGTGCATTGTATGTTAATGAAGGGAAACTCAGTCTAGCACCAAAATGCCTTCTTCATCCGTTAACATCAACGGATGGTCGCAGGATAGTGGAGCTCCGGCACAGCTGAAATCCTAGGGCTGAATCCTTAGCACAGAGGACTCCCATGATACTACCCATGTGTGCCCCTGACCCCAGCGACCGTCGGAGAGAACGAAAATCTAAGAAAGGCCCTCGGAAACTTACTGAATTTTTCCGCTCGACGGGCTCGCCGCGGACTCAAGATGGCGCCGGCTCGTCCAGCACCCTGTCCTCTCTGCAACTCTCCGACAGCCGTAACGAGCGGGAGCCGAAAGGAGGTGGGAGCCAGGTGACCGCCAACCCGGCAAAATCCACGCCCAGACTGGACTCTGGGGGAGCGCAGATACGGCCTGGGGAGGGGGACGAGCGGTCTGGCCCTACTGTGCATGTGTGTGAGGAGATGAATAGCACCATTGAGGATTGTCCCACTGCTGATCGCCCCCTGCTGGACACTACCCTAGGGGACGTGCTTGTGTCTCTTGGGTGCTCCCTGCATAGAGATGTGCTTTTTGCTGCTGAGAAGGGATGTTGATGCCCTGGGAGACGGAGTCGTCCACGTCGAGGACAAGATGGGGGATTATGCGGAGGCCCATAACGATCTTCTCGTCTACCAACTGGCACAGTCAGGTTCTCCGTTGGGGATTAATGGCGGTTAAGATTGTACAGCGCTCCTGCACTTGTATCACGCTGCCGTTCAGAGGCGACACCCGGAGCTTTAGGAGAAGCTGCAGGCTCTCTACATCCGCGTCTTGTCACCGTACTGCTCTACAAAGATGGCGCCGGTGTAGTCGGCTGCCGTCACCACTGCTCTGCAGTCGTGTAAGCATTTCACTGCATATCATTCTTGTACGATTGTGTATGTGACAAATAAAATCTATCTATCTATCTATCTATCTATCTATCTATCTATCTATCTATCTATCTATCTATCTATCTATCTAATAAGCATTTTCCATCCACTGTTAACAAGCCAACATTAAAACTACAGTACATGACTATTAAATACCACTACACTGCCCTCTAGGTCTTAGCTGCTGTCAGGTAAAGGATACATTTCGATACCTAAAGAGACACTGTCACTTTACTCATTAATTACAAAGTGACAATGTCTTCTGACAGTGCCGTCCCAACCAATAGGGTATACAAAACGATCCGCACTTCCTTGCCACTTATGCTCCTTTGCTCTAATGGATTTGAATATAGGAGCATATGACCTCCCTCATGTGACAATGTTTGCGTCTGGGGGGCTAATTGCCATGCCAGGGTGGACTCCTGCAGCAGGGAGGCGACGAGAAAGTGGTGAGTATACCTTGCTGTGGGAGACAACAAGGAGACATGGTGACTTTGTCCTGTACGGGAGAAGTGACAGTGTCTCCTTTGACAAATACAGTGACAGCTTTAACAAATAGAGTACAGGTATATTATGAAACTTATGATGTTGTTAAGATGGCAAGAGCAACGTATAGCAAAATATTAAGCAGTACTACATAGGATGTTGTGGCATATTGTTGCCAATATCAAGAATCCAATCCTAATTATGTGAAGACAACATTGTAGTGAGTGCATGTAGACAGAAAGTAACTGAAAGAGGCTGAAGGAGGTTAGCAGCACTGAGATACAAATAAGGATGAAAAAAGAGGAAAATCGTGTTTTATGGAAAAAATGGTTATTACACAGTTCTTTAGTAAACTAAACCTCAGGGAGTCGGAATATAAGAATTCCTGTCAGATTTTATTGCCATCAGATGCTCCGTTGGAGAGATTCCTCCACTTTCTGTCTAGTAAAAAGGTTGCATTGAGGACAGAAAGTGAGGGGAAATCTCTTTAACAGCAGCACAGACAAAAGTAGGGGAATGCTATAACCCCCGTGAGTTGTTTATTGTTGTTAATTGTTGTCTGTCTGACGTTCATCTTGCTATATAGTTTGTTTTTCATTTCAGCAAAGAATATCCAGTGGTCCCAAGAAGTACAGTGCGACAGAAAGTTTCATCGAATCATAGTCCATTTCCCTCGGAATCTCGGAATATTTCCAATTCCTCCAACCTCAGTTCTCAGTACCAGTGTGAGAATGGTGTTAGCAGCACCTCTCAGGACTTAATGCCTCCTTCCAACTCATACCAATCTCTTCCTCATGAACCTGGGCCTATATATCACTGCACAAAAAGAAAAGGTATGTGCAACATACTTTTGGGGATCTCTATTTTTGGTTAGAAAAATTATAGAAAAGTGATTATTGAAATGCAAAGTTAACCTGCCAGGCATTTTACATTTTAAAAATGAAACTAAAAAAAACAGACACCTCAAGGTGCCTTCCATTGCCATTGTTACACAGGAAACCTTCTTTGTGTGACTTTAAAACTATGATTCTCTTACTAGTATTAGCACTTTATCAGTCAAATGGGGCAGACGTAGGTCGCTGTACTTATAAACATAGTCCAGTTTCTCACAGAAAAGCTGGTATGACTTAACAATTTTGGTTGAGTTAATAAAGCTAGGATAGCTGTTTGTCTATATGCATTTAGCCTGATCTTCTAAACCAGTCACCCAGAATAATTTGTTGACAGTGACTGCCTTGATTTAAGATCATTGTGAGCCAGTGGGACGCATGCTGTGTCTCAGCATGCCCACAATGACATGCTAAGGAGAATTGGCTCCAAACCTTTTTTAATAATTTCACATTTGTTCCAATCCTTAAAAAGTAAGCCTACCACTATCTGATCTGTCAATTTAGAAAGGTTAGTTTGCCACGTCTAAGCATATTGTTGACTTCACCTGTTTTGAAGTCTGCCATTTTTTGAAGCACTTGCAAACATTTTGGTTGATTTGCCCTTAGCTCACCATATTTATTAAAGTGGTGTACATATAATTTTGATTAATTTGGTTTTTGTATTGTACGTCTATGGTGGTGAGCATTTTTTCCCCGAGAAATATGTGTATAGCATGCAATAGTGTACATCTCTAGTTTCTGCACTACTAAAAAGTTAATAAAATTGTAAACTAGTTTCTTCCCCTTGTCACAGTCACAGGGGAACATGGATTTAAGAACTGAATACAATGTTTTAAAATAATTTTTTAGGTTAAAGTGAGATTAAAGCCTAACCCCCCCCATCCAAATGCTGGTGTAAGGACTTATCTTAAATGATGTCTCTTGATACCATCATCTTCTTTCCAATAGTTTTCAGTAGTCCCTCCAGCGCTGGTGCTGGTCTCTGATCCAGCGCTGACTCCTGTCTCTTCCTGTCCCACGGAGTCTGTGCAGGTGCAATGATTCCTGCATTGACTTACCTTGTGTCTCTTCTCCCGTCTGAAAATCTGCTACTGCTACTGCGCCCGCCCCATGATCCTTTTTGGCCGTTTTTAGATCTTCGGACGGGAGGGCGGAGCGGAGGCACATGTAAGTTTTAACCCTTTTGTTAACTTTAATTTTTTTAAAATGTTTTTGCATTTATCTACTACTTGCTAGCAGTGGATATATGCAAACAAATGTGAGGCTCTAATAATCCTTTAAGTTAAATCGATTGTCAATACTATTAATAATACAATGATGAGTGACATTTCTTTTTTTTTTTATTTAAACTGTAGAATTATTCTAGTTAACAAAAAACTTATATTCATATTTTTGCAGTACTTTATGGTGTGTAAAAATTCAACTTTAATCTCAGCCAAAAATATGATAGAGAATGAAGAAAGGAGTGCAGCCTAATGTAATTTTATGGAATAGGAGAAACTTTGTTAAAAACACTTTAAACGTCAGTTAATGCCAGGTTTTCCTTATATAATTTGTAACCCTGTTACAAATATGCTAGTTGTTCTTGTTCCACTAAAAAAGGTTTAACATCCAAGTCCAAGTTCTCGACTTTCAAACTAGGCCAGGATTCAGTTTGTACTTACATAAATTGGGTGCAAAATGGCTGCCATACTTGATCTAAAAAATGCTTAGCTGACTTTATATTTAAAATGTTTTTCTTTACAGAAAGGTAGGGCTAGAATCCCAGCAGGTTAAAATTCTGCATTTGCCTCAGTTCTAGTTAATAGGCCAATTGTGCTTTCTCAAGCCTCTCCCCGAGGCAAACATTTTAAGAAACAACAATAAAAATATATTGTGCTTATATCCCAAAATATCGGAGGGAGAGGAATTCTGGGTCAGTTGTTCACATTTCTTTTCTGAACCCAATCTTTCTCTTTCTCTCATGTCTTCATAGCTAAGAGAAGTCTTTCACAGAATAACTTTATACAACTATATTTGCTTTATCTATAAAAGAGAATAGAAGAAATACAAATTAAAACCCTATAAAAATAGCTGCACAAACTACCAGGTAATTATAAATCAATTTTTTTGTAAAGGGGATGCATGTTTTTTTTTTTTTTGCCAAAATCAAACTGTGTTTAAAACATATTCCAGCACGAGCGCATTGCTTAGCACTGGCAGCATAAAGATCTGAGTTCTGCACTGTTTCACTGCCTCACAATCTCAGCAGTTCCAGAAAGCGCTTCCACCATGCCCAAGTATGGAAAGTAACCCTGGTCTCAGGAGTCAGTCCTTAACCAATACTTTAAGTAGCAATACACCTCTTTATCAGCTGGCATTTTCTCTAAAGCCCAGAAAACAGTGGCCCGCACAAACCTCAGAACCCATGTTTTTACTGGGAGGACACTCACCCCTTCAGCACACCAAGAAGCAGCCCACAACTAATGGCCGTTCAAACCATGGGCACTCACCCAGTGGCGGACCTAAGGAACAAAGGGCCCTGGTGCAAGATTTTTTTTGGGCCCACCCCCCAAAAAAAACCACAAACACAGCGCTCTCCTCCCGCAGCGCTCGGCCGGTTTTCACTTTCTATCCTTTCTTTCTAGGAAAGAAAGCAGGGATGCGTTGCTGTATCGGCAGAAAAATAGTAATATTGCTCTCACTGCGATGTTCGAGGCGATATGTAACATGTGCAGCACAATTGTCGTTTTTCGCACGTAGACGCTTTGACACGTGTGTATCTGGGGGGCGCGCCGGTTTAAATAGTAACCCGCTCGCTCTGTATGCATATAATGACAGCGTGAGAGCTGGGACACTACGCTTGTCGGTGGATCAGATCAGGTGAGTATTAAAAACATTTTTTTTTTCCGGGGACATTTAAAAATGTCCCGGGAACATAAAATAATAAAACATTTAATTAAGCCTCAATAATTCTTCCCTCACAATGCTCCTAATGCTGACCTCTTTTATGTTCTGCCAGCAGCGGAGATCTCTAGAGTCCTGTACTCTCTTCTAACTCAGGAGGATCTCACCTCACTAGTGGTTAAAGTAAAGTCTCACCTCCAAAAAGTGTGATCCTTACTACAGAAGTGAAATTCTGGCTGGTTCTCTTGGTTTGGCTATTATAAAACTCTCAAAATGACCACACAAATCGAAATTTCATTATTTATTCTTCACCCTACCCATTTATATCCTGTCTTCATATCCTAAATTGGTCAACTCACTGCTCTCCCAATTCCTGTGGGGCAAAAAAAATACCACACCTCACACTCCAACTCCCCAAACTCCCAAAGGCTCACAGTGGTCTAGAGCTACCCGATATAGTCAAATATCATGCAGCCTGCCACTTAGTAAGACTGATAGACTGGTACAGAGTAGACTGTCTTGATGCTACTCATGAATCTCAGCACAGCTGAAATCTCATCCAACCCTACATGTGAACCTGCACCCAGGTCTTTCAGAAACATAACCCCTTCTGGAGCCATTCCCCTCTTCATCCAATAATTAGCAACTTTGAGAGTGCTCTGGGCTCATTGGATGGATGTTTAGCAGAAAATAAATTCTTTCAAGCATCCTACTTCACTCATCTGTGACAATGGCCTTCTGCTAACACACCGACAACTACCACAGGTGGTCCCTTCAGCCTAAATCTATGGTAAGTCCTGCAACTCAGACACTTTATATATTTTCTACCTTCCCTCACATCATTCTCAAAACTCATCCCTTTAAATCACATTGCACTGACACAGAGTGCAGAGTTGCACTGGCACTAGACACATTGCCTGATATGACATTAACTGTCTGTCACATACCTGGTAGAGGCAGGGTTGATGAGAGCGCTTACATTCCACTTACAGTCTAATACCCCCTGAAGTTGGAGACAGGGAGTAGCAGGATGAGGAGTGGCACGGATACCTGCAGTGGGTCCAGATGCAGCAGAATATCAAAAGATAGTCTGGGGGCTGCCATGCTGCTGGAGATTTTCGGACCAGCTCTGCACAGAAAGCTGGTATGGAGGTCTGGCACAAGAATCTTTGTTAGGAAGAGCAGGGTCAGCAACAGCCAGGCAGCAGAGGTACTTTTTCAGAAGCTGGAGTGAGGTCAAAGTGATTTGGTTCTTCCCACATTTTAGACCCTTCTAGACTAAAGTTAGATAAGTCTCCCGAAAATGTACTGATTACATTATCCCAGATAACCTCACCTTTCTGCATCATTCTACCATTCCCATCCTATATCTACAAATAACATAATGAATAATCTCCTCGCCTGCTGTCTGTGCCAGCAAACATTGCAACATGAAAGAAAATCACCGCCTAAAGAATCTTAAAAAAAAACGACACTTCCAGGAGTGTCAATTTCCTGCCCAACTGCTACGTGACTACGTTTTCTTAGCACAATTTCAACTTCCACTAAAGATAATGCATAGGTGAGAATTTTGTTTTGCTACTGCCTTCAGCAGCATTCTCTCTTCCTTCTTCCTTTTCTATTCCCCACCACTTCTCCTCTCTTGTCCAATCCTGTCCTCCCTGCTCTCATGCCACCCTCCCTGCAGCTTCAAATCCTTCCCCAGCACAGCAAGTCTCCAAGGATCTTCTCCTTGCTGGTTTCCCACTCCCTCACACACACCACTGCTGGCAGCTTTGTTTTTTGGCAGAAGACACTTGGCATGTCTATTCTGCCCAAAACACTCCTTTCTAGCAGTTTTTTTATTTTGTAGATTAACTTCCATTTGAGTGAATTTTTTGTTTTTATTACATTTACAATGTTTGCCAAATAGTAGTAATAGCTCACTGATTAGTTTACCGTGCTGCCTGGATCTGCTCAATGACAATAATTACAATACAATTCCTGATCTATAAAATTGTACCAATACCTTCTGGAAAGTAACACATTACATCCCACATCCCTCCCCACCACATATATAACGCTGCTCCCAGGGGACCTCAATGACATCATCCCCAGCACCCCATCTGCTATATTCCTCTACAATCTCATGAGAGCTCCACTCTGAGATTACGTGAAATCACCAATACCCAGCAGAACCTGGTATGAAACATGTGATTACGGCCTGGATGGCCAGAGTCAGTACTGCAGATGGCAGGGGGTGGTATCAGTAAGGGCAAGGCAAAATTGAACTGCACCAACTTTAGGTAAAGGTTAGGATAAATGTATGTATTACAGGTATTCATGCAGTGTTGTCAATTTATGTAGTGCTTTACACATTCACATCACCCTCTGCTCTCAAGGAGCTTATAATCTAAGGTCCCTATCTCACATGCATACATACATACATACATACACACACACACACACACACACACACACATGTATTCAGGACAATTTAGACAGGATCCACATTACCGACCAGCAAGTCTTAGAGGTGTGGCAGGAAATTGCAGTATCCGGAGGAAAGTGAAGCAAGCACTGATAGCGTCAGACCGGGGAACCCCAGTGCTACAAGAAATAAATGCTAGCCACTAAGCCACTGTGCTATATGTGGGGTCCTTAAAGCTTCTGTGTACCCATTGGGGAAATTCACCCTCATTATGCTGTCACTGGAACAGGGATAAAAGAGACACCTGGTGACAACTGTCAAGGGTGGTCTTTTCTCCTTACTTTTAAGAGATTTCATTTCAACTTATGCTGTGTTTCTGGACACTCTAGTTATAGCTAGAAAAATGGTGTGCATACTATAATACTTAATTAATTCAGTTCCTATGTTTAATTTGTAATGATTAATTTACCTGGAAAGAGCTATATTTGTTCACTACTTATTCAGGCTCTGATTCCTGGTTTGCAGAGCTACACAGTGGTTTTGCTTTACTGCTCTCTCTAATGATGCAAGTGTGTCAGGCAACTAACTGAAAACAATACTTTTCTGTGTGGATAATATCTTATCTCAACAGTTAATAAAACAAACAACATAATTGCACTGAGCCTCTAAGAGCTCCCTCTAATTAACATACCTCTCTACTTAATACAAGAGTGTGGCAGGCAAACATTTCAATCTCAGGGTCTAGGCCTTGGTGAATAGTCGGATGAAAAATAAGTTGGGTGTTCATCGCTTTAGTTTTTTTTACCTATTAATCCTAAACTCAATTCTAACAGAGAAGGTTTAGGGGTTGCATGATAACCCAAAACAGCACAAAAATACAACATCAAGTGAGGAGGGAGCATAGAGCAGGCTTCCAGGCCAATCAGAAAGCATGGGAGCAGGTAATGACTTGCCGCCCGGGTTCCTGATACTCGAAGTTCCGATATTGGGATAAGTATCTGGAGCATACTCGCCCAAATACTCGGTATCGGCACCAATACAGATACTAGTATCGGTATCGATGCATCACTAATTTTTACTATCATGGCTGTTGTACACCTGTGGTTATAGATAAGGTGCGCACTTCAGAAACATACTTTATACGTCAATGTAACTCAAGCTTTGCAGTTGAAAGAACAAGTCCTGAATTTAGCACAGCACTGTAAGCCAAGAGTTTCATGTTAAAATTCTGGATGGCTGGAATACGGCTTACTACTATGAATGAATTGGAGCACGGTACTCATGCACCTCAAGAAGAGTTAGCTGGCAGGGAACAGGGAAGGGATGAAGATCACAGGAACAGGGAGGAAGTTAAGTATTTAAGATAACACGCTGCACTAAAGATGGGGGGGGGGGG